AATATCAGTACAAAATATGTAAGATGAAATATTTGAAAAACTATTGGCTGTTTAAAATTTTATGCTGTTTTTTGTCAAATTTTAATTCTGAAATATAATCTTCAGAATAACTGCAAAATCGTTACCATAGTAATCTTCCTACTTTGAAACTCATTTGAATAATTTTTAATTTTTCGGATAAATATATCGAAGCTACCATAACTAACACTCAATTCCTCTGCTTTGTTTAGTCACGTTTCACAAAATGAACAAAGTTCCCTTTGACACGGACTTTGAGCAGACAACTTTCGCAAAGAAGAATAAAGCATGTTGTCCATTTTGGATCGTAACCGACCAACGTCGCCACAAATAAGGCTGGTCAGTCATATGAACGATAAATCTAGACTTCTGGCAATCTTTACCCATATATAATAACCGTATGTTTTAATACTAAAAGTCTGTGATTGCTTGCCTGCTTGTGTGGTGCGTCCATCCGGCGGATAATGATTTACGAGTGTTTATACACTAAGTATTTTTATTTAAACTTTCTTCAAACAGACAGTTTATTAATTAAGATATTTTAAAGACAGACACAAAGAGATGCCGCTTTGCCGTTTCGTCCGATTGTTTGTGGAGTATTTATTTATATTCCAGCTTTCTTTAAACAAACAATATTTTAGATATTTAAAAAAATATTTATTGGCATAATTAAAAAAAAAAAATTTTCAAGTGAATATGATTTTTAAATATTTTTTGGCATATTATAAAATATTTTAAAGGTAGTCTGATTTAAAGTTTACCCCGGAAGTTCTATTCCTATTAAATGCAGTAAAACGTTAAGCGCGAACTTGTAAATCAGACCAGTGATGACACGAACGAACTGAAATACTTAATTGAATTAAAATAAAATTAATTTTTATTTCAATGGAAAGTTGAAATCAACGTCAATGTTTTATAACCTGGACTGTCAATAACCCAACGTTTATAAAACTAAGAATGTAAGTTTCCAGCTTGTAGGAGTTACGAAACACAAATGAAAAAAATATCCTAGTTAGTTTTAATAGATATGTTCATACTCTTACCTTAGATGAGCGTTTAAATTTATTTACCATTGCTGTGTTTAACAAAAAAATATATCGGATGACTTAGATTTACGTGCCGTAGATATTTACCTAAGCATTAAAAACAAAACAATCAAGATGGCTAATGTTTGTTTGACTGAGTAATTTGTTTTCTTACGGGTTTCGCAGTTCAGTTAATACAAGAAATTATTTTTGGATGGAAAGAAATTTTTAAAGATAATAATGATTTCATCTGATGCAAGTTCTACTAATTAACCCATTGCTGGAGGAGAAGAAATTATTCATATTATTCCCAATGGTGTTTGGACGAAAATGAATATAATGAACCCAACTGGAATAATAACTGTCATATTTCCAATTCCGAGAAGACGGCTAGAGAGAAGCCGCAACAAAGCAAATGAAATTGGCGTTTTACAGAATTAAAACATGTTAACGAAATGTGTTACATACCTTTTCTCCGACCCTGAAAATGAATGCTAGCAAATATCTCAAAAGTCTGTTCTTACTCAAGAATCCAGCACGCCATGTTGCAAGGGGTGGTATTTTATTTTATTCAGAGAGCATCTTTTGTTCACGAATCCACACAAAAAATTTCTGTACAGATTAGAGCTTTACTAATTGGTCAAGGGTCACATGACTCATCAAACTCGTTGCATACTAATTAGAGAAGAAGAAGGAAACTTAAGCCAACGACATCAATTAGGAAAGAAACGGCAGTTTTACTTGCATTATTTACATTATTCGGACTGTTGTCCTCATCTTCATAGCCATATTCACAACGTTTCGGCCGTTGTACGCTACGGCCTTCATCAGGTAATTGGATCTCTGAGATTAGGTATTATGATTACTTGCATTATTTACTTCATTCGGACAGTTATGTTCATCTTCATTGCCATATCCCCAACGTTTCGGCCGTTGTACGCTCAGATCTTCATCAGATAATTGAAATTGAAGACACATGGTCCAGTAGATAACGAAGTTGGTTAGATCCAGTGACTAGACTCAAAGACCCAAGGATTTGTGAGTTCAGTACTAGAACACAACAGTGACGAACCAAAAACTTGGAGAGATGAGTTAAAAAGAAATAACTGAGAAATCTGGAAGAGGCATGTCACGAGGAACTAGAACAATCTACCCCGGTGGACGAAATAAAGGGTTCGATTCGAAATTCCGATCAGCTGAAGAAGGCCGGAGCGTACAACGGCCGAAACGTTGTGAATATGGCAATGAAGATGAGGATAATAGTCCGAATAATGTAAATAATGCAAGTAATCATAATACCTCATCTCAGAGATATAGACAGATATATAGAGAGACATAGACATAAAGGCCGGAGCGTACAACGGCCGAAACGTTGTGAATATGGCAATGAAGATGAGGATAATAGTCCGGATAATGTAAATAATGCAAGTAATCATAATACCTCATCTCAGAGATATAGACATATGTGATTTTATATTTGACGAAGGTTTTTTTATTATCTTAAACACCTTTTTATGCGTCAAGAAATTACATGACAAATGTTCAGATGAATGTCATCCTTCTGTTCTTCCATTTCAGACATTTACAACTAGGAGACGTCATGCTACTTGTTCGGAAACGAATCTCTCACGTTTCCTTTGTATTCCAAATATGAGAAGAAAGTTCTACTCACGCAGCTTTTCTCCGAGAATCTCTACTTTATGGAAAAGTGTCAGACGTGAATGACTCTTTGAAAACCACTTCTTCAAGTTTAGTGTAAGTCGTTTAAATCTGCTTTATTAGTCTCGTAATATTTACTCCCTTCCACGCTCTTTTTCATTCATATCACAATGCTGATAACTTATTATCTTCTACATTGAGTGGCCCCGAGCTTTGTATTGGGTTAGCTTTAGCATAAAAAAGACCGTTTAAAATTAAATATTTTAATTCTTTTTTTGTTTGCAGAAATTTAGGAAAAATTAGTAGCTTCTATTTTATCAATGTATCTGAGATGTCGTATTGTAATTATTAATAATATTAAAAATCATTAACAATATTTATATTGTTCAGACTATTGTCCTCATTTTTGTTGCCATATTCACGACGTTCCGGCCGTTCACGCTCCAGCCTTCTTCAGGATTTGTCTATATTTCTGAAATTAGGTATTGTAATTATTTACATTATTTATATAGTTCGGACTATTGTCCACATCTTTGTTGCCATATTCACGACGTTACGGCTGTTGTACTCTCCGGCCTTCTTCAGTATCTGTTTGTGTTTCTGAGATAAGTTTTTGTAAGTATTTACATTATTTATATTTTTCGAACCATTGCCCACATCTTCGTTGCCATGTTTACGACATTTCGACTGTTGTACTATCCGGCCTTCTTCAGTATCTGTCTGTGTTTCTGAGATAAGATTTTGTAATTATTTACATTATTTATATTGTTCGGATTATTCTCCTCGACATTATTGTCATGTTTACAACGTTTCAGCTGTTGTACGCTCCGGCTTCTTCAGGTGGCCCAGTAGATAAAAACGTTGGTTAGATCCAGTGACTTCACTCAATGATTTGTGAGTTCAATACCTGCCTACTGCAGTGGGGAACAAACACATTAGAGTTGTGTTAAAGGATGATAACTGAGACATGACGCAGAGGTATGGACGAAATAAAGGGTTCAGTTCGAACTTCCAATCACCTGAAGAAAACCGGAGCGTACAGCGACCGAAACGTCGTGAATATGGCAATAAAAAGGAAGACAAAAGCCCGAACCCTGTAAATATTGTTAATAGCTTCTATTTCTCTGTTCTAAAATACAATTTTCGCAAAGAGTTTTCCCGGGTTTAACTCAGTAGATAGAATATGTTGGTGTTACTTTCAGACAGTTACAGACAGAATCAAAACGATTGCAAGAATGAAGGGATTCTTATCTACGAAAAAAAAAGTAAAATCTTCCCGTCCGAATTCCTGGGATGAGGAGTTATCATTATTTACGCTATTTATATTCGGACTATTGTCCTCATCTTTGTTGTTTTTATCACCTGATCACCTGTTTGAGTTTCTGGGTTGAGGCGTTATCATTATTTGCACTATTTATATTCGGACTATTGTCCTCATCTTTGTTGTTTTTATCATCTGATCGCCTTTCGTCTGAATTTCCGGGTAGAGGAGTTATCATTTTTTAGACTATTTATGTGCGGACTATTGTCCTCATCTTTGTTGTTATTATCACCTGATCGCCTTCTGTCTGAATTTCTGGTTGAATTTCTGGACATCGTAGATCGAGAAACCATGGACTTGGAGATCGTAGTGATCGAAAAATTCGGGACTTGGTGATCGTAGTGATCGAGAAACTCTGGACATGGATGTCGTATTGTTCGAGAAAATCTGGACATGGAGATCGTAATGATCGGGAAACTCTGGTCTTTGGGATCGTAGGGATTGGGAAACTTTGGATAGGCAGGTCGTAATTATCAAGAAACTGTGGACTTTGAGATCGTAGTTATTGAGAGAATCTGGACATGGAGGTCTTAGTGATCGAGGAAGGCTGGACTTGGAGGTCATAGTGATCAAGAAAACCTGGACTTGGAGGTCTTAGTGATCGAGAAACCCTGGACATGATGCTCGTAGTGATCGAGAGGCCCTGGACTTGGAGATCGTAGTGATCGAGAAAATCCTGACTTCGAGATCGTAGTGATCGAGAAGAGTTTGACTTGGAGATCGTAGTGATCGAGAAGACCTTGACTTGGAGATCGTAGTGATTGAGAAATCCTGGACTTAGAGACCGTAGTGATCGGGAAACTCTGGATTTGGAGACCGTAAAGATCGAGAAAATGTGGACTTCGATTTCGTAGTGATCGAGAAACTCTGGACTTGGAGATCGTAGTGATTGAGAAAGTCTGGACATTGAGATCGTAGTAATCAAGAAAACATGGACTTGGAGATCGTAGTGATCGAGAAATTGGTGAGTTGGATAT